AAGTCTTGTAACGGGGTGGAAGGATTTATTAACGTAACCTTCTTTTATATAGTTATAAACTATATTAAAGTCTTTAAAATATATTACGTTATAAGTGGTTTCGGTTAAAAGTTACAAGTTAACGATAAGGCTTTCGAACTCCTCGTTCGAACCTGGTTTTTTTAAGGGCGAGTTTAAATCTATTAAACTTATAAAGGCTTCTCGCCTAACTCTCGTTATAAAGACGTAACCTTTTCCCTTTAATCTTAATTATAAACTTGTTAGTGTTTTTATTATAAGATTAGTATTTATTACGTTACCGTTAACCTTTATTATAGTATAAGTAAAAGGTTTTTATAATTATAATCTTCGTTACTAAACTTATAGTCCGAACGACACGACGGCGTATCGACGGGGTTTCTTTTCTTTACTTAATGTTTAATCTTAAAATTAAATAGTATTAAAAATATACACTATTTAGTTTACCGGTTATTTAACTTTTATTAACTTATAAACGTTTTTAAATTAACATGGTCCGATAAAACTTCGACTTTTTAACGACTTTTATTTAAGTATTATCGTTAATATTTAAAACTCTTTATAATTACTATTATTTCTTAATCGAGGGTATTATAGTTTAACTTTAACCCTTTTTATTTTTTTAACTAAAAGGCGATTAGGTGGTATCTATCTTGTTCGTTTAATTAAAATAGTACTTTAAAGTTACCCTTTTTTAACGCGTCCGTTTCGAGTCGGGTTTGTAGTTTAAAATTAAAGTACCTTAGTAACGGCGTTTTTTTAAAATAAGTTTTAAGTTCGTCGAAAGTTTCTCGTTCGTGAGTCGAAAACGTAACTATTCCCGGTTTCTTCTTATTTTACATACCTTTTAAAAGGTTATTAAGTGGGGTTGTAATTTACGAATACACGAGGATAAATCGTTTATAAAAGTTATAGAATCTTAAAAATACTTATATATTACGGTAGGACTTCGGTTTTAGTTACTTTATAATAGTAGTTATTCGTTTCGGGTTTATTTTAACTTTATAACGTATAAAGATAAATCTTAAAAATTCCACTTTATTTATAAAAAATTTACACTTATATAAATTAGTATATAACTAGGCTCGTTTAAGTCTTTTTAACACTTCGTATAAATATCGTACGTATTACTCTCGGGATTAAAAGAATATTAAAACGTTATTTATATATACTATATATATAATATTAATCAACCCTTATAAAGTTGTATAAATATAATGTTAAAAGGTGGTAAGAGTGTTAGTTAAGTTAAAAGGAAGAACTATATACTCGAAGTGGTTATATCGTATACGAAACGTGGTCTTTCACTTATTACCCTTTTTAATCCGGATTCGATAATAAGTATTTTTAATATCGAGTTTAAAGAAAAACTAGGCTTTATTTATCCGATTTAAAATTTTAAAAATTAATAAAAGAGTATACCGGTTTTTTACGGTAACTTTATTTAACTTACGATAGTCGACGTAAAGTCGTAATATATTATCCTTTTTTAGTATAAATAATATAGGTACGTCGGTTAACGACTTAAAGGGGTGGATACGTCCGTTTTATAGGTTCTCTTCGATATAAAGTCGTAGTTTTTATAATTTCCGTTTAAATAACGGGTAAATCGTTTTATATAAGGGTTGTGTATCCGGTAAAAGATCTATAATATAATTAGTCTATTTAAACGACGGGATAATTATCGTTTTAAATATACTAAAGATATCCGTAAAGTCTTTTAACTCGACGGGTAGTACGACTTTTTTACGAGTTTTTTACTTTTTTATATTAAAAGGATAGTCTTCGTAAGGGCGTTTACTCGGGACTACCGGGAACGTTATAACCGTATATATTACCGTTTCGTTTTATATAATTTTCGTAAACTTCTTCGAGGTCTTAATATAAATCTTTAAGGTTTTATATACGAAACGTTATAGTACTTTTACTAAAATATTAATATTTAACGTTTTTAAACTTGTAATATTTAGTAAAATAAGGTTAATATCCGGACTCTTCGACTTATCGAGTACGATATAAAGACGGATCGTCTTTTTAATCCTTTTACGGAAATCCGTAAAAGTAATAAGGATATCCTAGATTCTAAATGTTTAAGTTTTAAAGGCGTTTGTTAAATACGTCACTGGATCGGGATGTCTCGTTTTTCGTAATTAAAGTCGTTTTACGAATTAGATATTTACGATATTTAACCCCGTGGTAATATTTAAGGTAATAGTCGTCTTTTCCTCGACTCTCTCGTAATATATTACTAACGCGTTCTTTAGTGGTTTATATTTTATTTCTATCGTCTTTTTTTCGGACTCGAAAGAGGTAATTAAGGGTTTTTTAACTTAACGGGCTTTTTAGTAATAGTATTTTAAATAGGTACGTTTTTTAAGTAGTTATTTATATAGTGTCTTACTTTATTATACTTAAAGTAAGTAACCGAGGGTTTTTTTTACGACTCTTTTTTATTTTATAAACGAGAAGGTTAGGAGTCCGTTATATTCCTCCCTTTTTCGTTTTTACGATTTTTATAGTCGTCCGAGTAACGTTAACGTTTCCTTTTTTAAGATACGTTTTTTTACGGTTTATCGTTAAGTCGTTTACGACTTTCTTACGAATTACGAACGTTATCGGTAAAACGATTTCTTACCCGTTATATAAATAATAATTCGGTTTTTACGTATAAGTCTCGGAGGTTAATCTTTTTATAATCGATAACTTCGTTTAACGTATACTTAAGTTAATTATTTAACTTAAAATAAAAAGTCTTTTTTTTAAATTTATCGAGAAGAGACGTTATTTACTCTTTTAAAAAGTGTAAGTAGTTTAAAAACTCGGATAATAGTTAATTAAGTCGAAAGTGTGTCTTTTTATATAACTTATAGGTTTATATCGACGGGTCGTCCGTAGTAAGGGTGAGTGTCGTTATTTACTCTTTAAATTTATCTTAAAAACGTTTAAGTCGTCGACGTTTCTCGAGATCTTTAACGTTACGTATATATTAATTTTATTATCTTTTAAACGGTTTATTTATATAGTTATAAGTAACGACGACTCGATTACGAGAATTCGAGAATTCGTACGGTTTAATTTTAAATATTATTTTTAATTTTAAGATTTAAAATTCCCGGTCTTTAAAAGTAGAATAATTCTTATAAACCTTAAACGATAGTTGTATTTTTAAATCTTTTAATTTACGACTCTTTTACGTTTCTTCGTCGACTTTCGAGTTATTATTCGGTTTAAAAGAATTTTCTTTAAATAACGGGGTTAAAGAGAGGGAAACGGTAAATTTATCTTTAATCTCTTCGTTTTAATAAAAGACTCGTTAACGTTTTACGTCCTTTAAAACCACGATCCTTTCTTTAAAAACTCGTTTCCTTTCGAACGTCGTTAACTTTTTTTTAAACGTTTTTTCTTCGTCGTTTTTTTTTCGACTTATTCTTCCGTAGTAGTATTAATCCCACCACCTTCTTCTCCCTCTTTTTTACTAGTCGGTACTATTATCACTACTCTAGTACTCGAAGATCCGATCGGGTCTTCGACCGTTGATTATAAGTTAAGGTTTTCAAGGATAGGGTCGACGTTTACTTACGGGAGACTCGTAAGGCCTCACGAGTACGAACGTATAACTCGGCTCGACCTAACGGAGAGTGGGTTTATCGCTTCTCTTCTTCCAACTATCGTAAAAAGGTATCCGTAAAAAGAAGAATTAAAATTATTATAAGTGATTATAAGATAGGTCTTTATAATAGATTAGTTAATAAAAAGTATTAGTTTCGAGGACGAAGGTAGGTGTGTATTATAATAAAGACTAATTCTTACCCCTTCTTCCCGGTGGGAAGAAGGGAGTCCTCTTATTTAAGGAGAAAAGGCTTTTCACTAGCGTAGCGTTAACGTGTGGTTGGGGACCAGCCACACCACGCCCTATTATGTAAGCCTAGTCACCTGATTCGTGGCCTTCGGTCACGAATCGATTATGACAACACACCTACCTTCGTCCTCGAAACCAATACTTTTTATTAACTAATCTATTGTGAAGACCTATCCTACAACCACTTATAACATTAAGCCTTAACCGGACGGGTAGTCTTAAAGATTATATACTGTTATTTATTATTCTTGTTTAAACCGAATTTTTTTTAGTTGAATATAATTGTGATAATTGTGTGGTTAGAAAATGAAATGTACTGTTGTCAAATGTTTTACCGTATTATTATTATTTATATTATACATTTGTTTTACTTCGTTTTATTTAACTTGATTGTTTCATAAAACTATTTTTATCTCTTTGATTTTTTTTTCTCCACGAGTATCGATATCATTATTTTTATTTTTATTTTTCTTTATTTTATTTTATTTTTGAATAAGCACCAAACAATTACAAGAAAAAATGCTCAGCTAAACAGCGCCGATACAGTTTATGGCTGTAATATTTTCGATCTGTCTCAATGGCAGTGTATTACACTAATGTTTAATTGACCATGGTACACATCCTCTCCTATTTTCTATGGACACACTTTAGTCTTGGTCTACTGAGTTATACTTACGGTTACCTTATGTTTTTGCTATAACCGCTGGCCTACGTGGAGGCGTTGCTACGTCCAGACGCGGCCGGTAAGAGGTACATTCCTGGTGGCACGGAGCGGTTCACGTACGACTCGGTAGCGTCGTTCATGGAAGAGGAGTTTGACCGGGCTAAGAACAAGGTGTAGTATGAGAAGCAGCCGGTCGACGACTCGTACGGCTTTGACGGTGTGACCACGGCCAAGGACCTGGGCATTAAACACCCGAGCTTCCATACGACGGTCAAGGATCTCATCTCGCACCTCAAGGGCATACACGAAGCTCTACAGGAGTCATCGCCCGAGGGATTACCGTGAGGTGGCGGGGGCTAGAGTGTACGAGGCTGAGGGAGAGAAACCAGACCATCAGACCACCAGACATCATGACGATGGTGGAGAAAGACTTTCACCCCTTCCACTCACACCGTCCACTCAACTCTGCTTGACAACCTTGGGCGAAACAGTCGTTAGCGGCGTGACAGAACGGCCCATCAGGTAATCTCCGCCCAGAACAGCCATCAAGACGCCGTACAACCCCCGTACTGGCCAGACTGCCCAGAAAAGGGCCAGCAGCCAGCCCAGGAGCCCATCACCGCCTGTTCGGGGCTTCTCCACGACCTTGACCTTGTCATAGACCGTAGGCAGCCGCTCGGCACCGTACTTGGCCCGGACACGATCGTAGGACGCGCGGTCATAGTGGGCCCAGAACTCTTCCTCGGTATAGTAGGCGTGTGCATAAAGCCACTTCTTGCCACCGAGCTGCTGCACTTTTTGTTCCAGCAACCGGTTGGCCTTTATGAATGCGGCACGGTCCGACAAGCCCGAGGGCAGCGGGCCCCACAGGCCAAAATTCATCAAGCGGCCTGCAGACGTGCTGCCATCGAGCTGGGCAAAGTCCGAGTGTAGGCCGTGCCCGGCGTTGGGCGAGTTGCGTGCTAGCAATAGGGGGCACAACCATAGCGGATAGATGTTAAACGCCGTCTCCAGCCAGTCGACAAATTCATCCATCTTCTCGTAGGGCACGCCCACGTCCTGCACCATGTAGAAATCAGCCAGTCCGCTCTGGTGCAGGGCCCGGTACATGGTGCGTGTGTGCATGAACGGATTGAGCACAAAGCGCGTGATGCGGTTGAAGGGTACGAGGAAGTAGTTGAACGAGTACTTGGCCACCCAGAAGCCGCCACGGTCGTAGCGGAAGAGGTAGTCAACCAACGGGACGTACTCGGTAAACGTCGTGCCCGCCGGGACCGCGGTAAATTTCTTGAGCATACGGCGGACGTGTACGTAGAACCACGGATCGCTACTACGGATAAACCGGGCGACCTTACCGCCCGCCGGCACGTTTGCTGTAAAGATACCGGAGCACACGACCGTCGCCTTTTTAGAGAACATAATACCATCGATATAATCCACAACGTCCCTTTCTATTATAATATCACAAGGGTTAGTTCGAATTAGTGTACTAATAGGTAGATATATTATTGTAACGGAAACTCACCAATCTCCTCCTCTAGTTGTTTTCTCGATCCTTGCACAGTGTCTTGCAGTGTATAGGTCAGCCTTACGAACGGTTGGGCGTCTTGTAGCTGCACTTCGAGCAACGTGACCACGCCCAGCGTGCCGAATGCCGACGCGGCGCCCCAGAAGAGATCCGTGTTCTCGTCTGTCGTGCGCGAGGCCTTGACCACCTCGCCGCTGGCCAACACAATCTCGATCCAGTTGACTGTGGCGTCAAACGGGCCGTGGCGAAACGAAGAGCTCTCGCCTGAAGTACCGGAGAAGCCGCCGCCGGCCGTAATACCCGGGAACTCCATAACGACGAGGGGCACAAGGCCGTGGGCCACTGTGGCAGCCACGAGTGCGTCCATGGGCACATTGGGCTCGACCAGCGCTGTCTTGGACATCGTGTCGATGCGCAGCACGCGGTTGAGGGCGCTGGTGTCCACCGTGTTGTCCAGCCGCCGTTGCGAGTTACGCGTGCTGTTCGTCGCGCCGTGGTAGATGCGAAACGGCTGCTTACGGGCTGCAAACTGCTTCACGCGCGCCGCAATGGGCCGCACTTTGTCTGCGTGCGCGTCCATCTCGGCCATGTTGTTGCAAGTGAAGAGACGAAAGATTTGGCGATGCTTTTCTTTTCTTTTCTTTTCTTTTCTTTTTTTTTTGGTCTTTGCTGCGGTGGTGCGTTTCGGCGAATTCAACACCGCCGTAATGTGTTGAATGGCCGTTTGCGGGGCGCTAAAAGGTGCTAAAACGGCGGGCCGCTGTGACTGGAGGAAAATGGAGAATAGATGAAAGGGAGAAAGGGAGTATTAAATAGGGACATGGAGAAGTGGCCTGAATTGCAGGAAAGAGGCGTTCGCTGGCCGTCCATATAAGGAGTCAGTTCACCCACGCCTGGCAGAATCTTCCGTCTGTGATTGGCTAGCTGTCTCTCGTTTGGTGGAGATTATGCTGGGCAAAGGGGCAGTGCATAGCTTGACAGGTTACACTTCAAAATGCAAAAAGCAAAATGGAAAAAAATGGATGTCTTTGTGGCTGAACGACGCAGCGCTTAATCTGGCCCTCTGAGCCAACCCCAATACCAGTGCCGCGGGCTGGAGAGGTGAAAGGTCCAAATAAGCTATGATGCTAGCATAATGCTCCACTGTTCCCGATTCTAAAGTGACGCTACGCCTGCTGTCAGAATGCATCCTTTGCATCCTTGAACCACAGCCGCCCGCTCTGGCTGCCACCTTCCAGTATTACGACTTGATCAGCATGGCAGGCAGGTTGTGCTTTTCGTTTTCATTTCAAGGCCGGGTTTTCGGTGTTTTTTGTGATCGGCGTTAATTTCTACGATTTTATTATGGAGTACCGCTTTTGTTCTCGTTCTTCTGGCTTTGCTTCTCCTTTTCCTTTTTTTTGGGTTTTCTTCTTTTCTTATTTCTATATCCATTTGACTCTGGCTTTCGCCACTTTGCGACGCATCCTTTGCTCACTCTCATTTCCATGTTCGATTGTTCAACCGCGTGGTATGTCCGTCTGTCGGGTTAACTGGCCAGAATGAAGGGCCCAATAATGGGTCGTGCCGCTGGCCCTGCATGGTGGCTTGTTTCAGTCGCATTGTATGTGGCCATTCATCTGGACGTATGAAAATAACTGTTCACACCCAACTGTCACATTACAATCTTTGGTCTGATGTGTTTGTCCGCGAGGATACCGTAACCTTGGGGACTGTCGTTGCGAAGAGCCGCAACACCCGTTCTTGACGAAAACTCTAAATACCCTTGGCTGGGTGCTTGCTGGCCACTGGCCACTGGCCCCGTTTCTTGTTCTTTATTGTGTATGACTCTATCGGCGTAATTGTTTTATCCAACCATGACTCCTTTCCTACCATTGTGATGCACATAGCAAATTTCGACCAGGTGTCGAGCCGGCGATGTCGCTCGACACAGGGCTGGACCTCGTCCTCCAGCGACCGTGGCACCTTTGACATTACCTGGAGCAGCTTTCTCACAATCTTCCTCTACGGATGGACAACGATCTGCATCAACGTGCCCATCACTGGCACCAACTGGGCACAACGGCTGCTGCGCAAAGTCCTCGTCTTTTGTGAAGCGCTGGCAGGCCCCGAATTCATCTTCCACACCGCCCTGAGCCAGTACCTGGCGGCCAAAAACTCAGTACAACGTTTCAAGGACTCTGGTTACGAGGGTTGGACCACCCGAATCTTCCTTTTTACTTTATAAACGATCGAGACTTTAATTAAACCTTTAACCTTCCTCGGTTACTTGAGTAAGTTTAATAAACGATTACTTACCGAAACTCCCTCTCTTTATATAAAATTAATAATTATTTATTATATATATTATTATACTATTATTTAAGACTTACACTATAGTACGGTATTTTGAATCGTGATACATGTAAGACTTTATTATTTGTTCCGTTACCTAGTATCTCGAAATTAGTGACGTACTACGTTTGTACGTAACACTTTTTAATAGTTAATTTATCGTGAAGACTTATTTACTTAATACTTATAATATTATCCTAAGTGTTTACACACGACTGTTTTTAAGTAGGTTGTTATAAGTCTCGTTCATAACTTGACTTTTAGACTCGTATCCTTTGTCTCCTTTTTCCTTATTGAGTTATACCTACGGTTGCCCCATTTTTTGACCATATACCGTATTCCTTTACAAAACCGAGTATAAACCTGGCTAGGTCTTCACAAAATGTCCGCAGCCGTTGTATTACTGGCTTATAACCTCACAACATACATTATCCCCATCCCACGCCTCTTAGTAATACCAAACAAACCCCATTGCCAGGCAAGTGTGCAGTCCGCAGCTGTAAATGTCGCCCGCTTGTCACAAGTTCTGGCAACATTGCTGACGGGCCGGGTGATGCAGCCGAGAGCCAATATAATTAGGCTTTGCAGGCGACAAAATTGTCACCACTTGCACTGGTGTGCGTGATTAGACTGTCAAACTTTCCGTTCGAGTCGAAAATGACTCTGTCGGCCCCAGGCGAGCCACCCGAGTAGACCTGAAAGCTCGAGAGAATAGGAAACTCGTACCACGGCGCAGAAGTCGGGAAGCTGAAGCCCTCGTAGTCGTTGTACTGGTGGGGGTATTTGTCCGAACCTTTTAATTTTGGATGAGAAGGGTCGATTTAGCGCCATGTTGCATCGTTTGAAAATGTCCATATTGAAAACGGTTCAGCACTTACCAAGAGTTTTCCCAGACTGATAGAGGGAGTAGCCTTTTGCGAGCGCTGCATCAATATCCTCCTGCCAATAACAAACGCTGCCGCACGTATAGACACAACTGGCGCGTGATGAGACTGGCTTGGAGGTGACCACGCTCGCCAAGGCAGACAAGCCAAGCACCAAGACCGACGCAGAGATCATCTAGCAGCGGGAGGAACGCTTATGATTAGCAAGGCATGATTGAATGCAGCATATGTGACATCATATAAGACATAGAGGAGAGAACGGATGCGTGGTATCTTACTCTGTAGGTAGTTGTTTTAAAAAGTCCCTGAATACCGAAAATATGACACAAAGGACGGAAGGTCACAGCGTGGTCTATTGGTAGAGCACATACGTAGTATGAATGACCTGCTGTTAAGAATGGGAGTGTCAGAGGGTCACGCAATAGAAAACACAAATGCAGAGGACAATGAATAGTGTTTTATACTTGAACCATGGAAAGACGAGGCAAGGAGCAAGAACGGCGGGAAGGTCGAAGGAACCGACGTCTGTGTACTATGTACACTGTGAGATAAGGCCAAACCTCTGTCGTTCTCTCACGCCTACTCAGGTTACGTGGGATGGGAGACGGGAGAGAACCAAACGGCCACATCCTTCCGGCTTGGAGAGCCCATCACAGCATGTGCTTGTGCACGATGCTTGCGGATTGGACTGGAAGAGATCGCGCGGCAGAACGGGGCCTGAGCTCTCACTGCGATCGTCAAATATTGAGGGGACGCATCCTTCCATATCTGGCCTTCTCCCGTGCGCCTCTGCAAGGCCGAAAAAAAAGAGGAAGGTGATAACCGGCGCTACTTGCGCTTTGTATTTCTAAAAAAACCAATACTATTTCGGTCGCCTCTTTTGGACGTTGATTTCGGAGACTTGTACTACTTGCACCCAAGCTCGAGACGCTGGTGGTGTACTGGACTGAGCAGCACTGTTGGACCTGCACCGGCTATTGGTCGCCCACTTTTCGATTCTGGTAGCCAACCCCTGTCGTTGACGAGGGGCCCTGGAGTAGCAAGTCGAGCGAGTGTCGATCGCTCCCGTCGATCGCCACCTATCAAAAACGTTATCTGGTTCACCCAGGGCCCGCGATATTTGTACTTACATCTTACCGTGTACATAAAAATCTAACCGCCGTCAACAAAATTTCATTCCTGCCATAACACGCGAAACAATTGTACACTAGGGAGGGTGATACTGGACACATCTCTGAAGTCTTAAAAAGTAACTATTCACCCCAATTAGCTGCATTGGACAATAAACTATGTACGTCGTAATATGTCTTTTATATAAAGCACGTGGTGAATGGAAGGAACTTTATGGCAACTCCGACGGAGCGGCACAAGCACGCTTTTCGTGAGAACACGGACATATAGCATATTGCTGCGCTTTATTAGATTGACACTACAGAAATACGACAAAGCCTGCTGCAGTCTAACACGAGTACATGTTCACATGCTGTGCGCACGAGCTGCCGAGAAGGAAGCCGACGGACGACATCCGACCCATCTCCTGCCACGCATCCTACATCCCAGAAAACATAACCCGTGCAGATCGCCGGCGTAGATAAGGAAGAGAGGTAAGGGACACAAGAAACATCAGGTGTTTAAGTGCATCCGCACAGTCAGACAATCTCACAATCATTTGCAAGTACTGCCCTTCTTAAGAAGTGAATCCTGACCAAACGTCGCCGCCTGGGCATTTGTAAGTCGTTGCTGTGCTTGAGTAAATGTCAATCTAAAAATAAAAAAATTAGTCCCAAGACGCCAGAAAGGGCATGACGGCAGGATGCTAAGCAGTCGCACGAGCTTTTGAAGCACAGGGGTTCCTACCATCACTCCAGGGTCGGTCATAGATGCATATGTCGGAATGCTATACATGTAGTTCGCCGGGGGCAGTGCCGTACCACTACCCGATACCACCAACTGGGCACACTCCGGGTAGAACTGCGGCGTATTGGTCTGGTGCAAAGCTAGCAGTTCATGGCGGATCAGATAGTTCCCTGGCGCAAGCTGCTTGGGAATGACACTGGACCATTTGAGGTTCTTACACACCACCGCAGTGCCCCAGTTGGCACTTGTGAGAGGTGGCGCAGTAAGGCCCAGTTGATCAATCTTAAACCAGTTCTTGCCAGATCCTGTACACGATGAGAAGTCACCTTCACACTTGTACATCCACACCATCACAGGGCCCTGTTGATGCGTCCATTGCTTCCACACTGCCGTGATATTGTCACCCGCAGCGATAGGTGCCGAGAGCTGTGCTGATGTGCCACCGTTGCACGTCATCATAGGGCTGGTCGATGACAGGATCGGATTGTAGTCGGGCCATTGCCGCTGGATGGTCGGTCCAGAAGTCGATGGCGCAAACCCGTCGTAGCCATTGTATGTCTTTCCGCCGATGACGTAGCTTGTAACAGCGCCGTGGCCCGTTGCCAGCGATACCAGAGAGAGAAGAGGTAAGATATGCAGATCCTTCATCTTGGGTTTGGAACCGCCGGTGTAAGGCTAGGAGATATTCAGGGGGTGGGGGTAGGGCGAGACGATGATATAGAAGCGGATTCCTGGATGTGAAAAGAACAGTTCTTGGGGTTGGAAGTCGAGGACTATGGCGAACCGAAAAAAAGAGAAAGAATACTCCTGGCAAATACTCTGGGCTTTATATCTCCTGAGGAGCGTTTGAGCGGACCATCAGCCACTGGTATTACTACACGATTGTCACAGTAACTGCTATATTGACGGCTAGCTCGGCACAGAACCTATGACATGTCATGAGTATTTGGCCGTCCCGGGAGAAAAATCCTTGAAGACGGATACAGAATTGTGTGAAGGCATGCTATGAGTGGCTCCTGACCTTAATCAGTGCATATGGCCTTCGACTCCCTGGCGTTTCTGCTATGAGTGCATATCAAAGACGTATGGAAACGTAAGGGCGTGGGATGGCAGAGCACGTTTGACCAGGTAAACTGGGTTGGGTTGCTGTCCACTGCACGGAAGCTATGTTATCGATCCAGTTTGAAGCATGCCGTTCGCCCTGGTCAACCATTTCCGCGTGCCGGGAGCCGGAGAGGTGAGTATACATGCTGTTTACCGCAGGGTAAATTTGGTTTTAGTTCGTCCAACGGGGGACTGGAAAGTAAGACGACACAACCACGAACAACAAATAACGAATAACGAATAAACAAACGTCTCGTAGCCTTGTTGTCGTACACCGGCGGATGACACCTCCGAGCAAGGTTGCCAACATGTATATACGGATTCATGTCAGGAGCAAAAACAGGGCCGGCCGGCCCGCGATCGTACCTAGTTTGCTGCTTCTTGTGTGACTCTTGGAGGCCGATAGGTAAAAAACGACCGGCATCTCGTAGCCGTCTGGGCCACACTGGCTGCTTCCTTGTGGACAACATATGGGCGTGGATGGCATGTGATGGCGCAGATTGCGGGGGCAATCTACTCGAGGGGGGCAAAGAAACATGCTCACCGTACTAAACATGTACGCAGTGGCATGGGCATGGTATCATGGTGTGTGTTTGTAAACAACCACTTGCTGAGAGGCTTGGCCGCATGTCTCCCGCTGCGTGTAGAGACGGCCTCGCCCAAGGAGTTGGAAGCTGGATGGGTTGGAGTGTTCCTTGTATGGATAAACGGGAGTGTGACGGTACGATTCGGTTGTCGGAGCGTACTTTTCCGGGGACGACCAGGTTGTTTGACAACAGCTCATGTTGACGCAACGTTGGGGGATAAATAGATTGCAGGTGTCCCCATGACGTTCCGGGTGGACAGCTTCCGTACATAATTATTGTACTAGTAAACATAAACCACGTTAGTAGGAGCCGTATCAAATTGAGTTATGGGTCCTATAGTCTAGCGGTTAGGACATTGGATTCTGATCACTGATCTTAATTTCCAGTAGCCCCGGTTCGATTCCGGGTAGGACCTTTTTATAAGCTTACAAGACGGTAGTCATTTTTTTTGCTTTGGGGTTATTTGGGCACCTTTGTTACAACTTCCGTCTCCAAATATGCGTTGCTTTGACGTAAAGCGATTATCTTTTATTTTATCATTTTCTTTACTAGTCGTTTTTTTTTAATCTCTATAGTTTTTATATTACTCTCATATGGTCATTGTCATTTGATTATTTGGTTACTTGAAGTTTTCTAACGTTCCTTCACACACATATGTATGATTTCAGCGTTTCCTCCCTACCGTTTACATAGAAAACAACCTTCTCCCAAGGGAACAGACCAACGCCACGAGAGGGTCACAGGGACCGTAGGGGCAGTGACTTGGTCGACGCAGTGAAGAGGTCACCGATGTATTGGAATTTCATCATCTTACTGCCAAGCCGAACTTTCCACATGCCACTGTGAGATTGTATTCGCTGATAAGAAACGACATACTCTTGGACACAACTCCCAAGCGGAAATATGAGACTCTACACAGTCCAAGACAAGTTGGCACGAACCGATCATCCAACATATACTGAAGCGACAGTATCGCTGCATGATGAAACCACGAGACCAACGCTCCGATAAGAGCATAGGCATATAGACAAGGCACAGTGAACAACATTTTCTTGCCCTGCCAACGACCGACCTTCTCACAAATAAGGCGATTGTTTAATGCACGCAAGACAGAAAAGTGACTATATTGCGGTGATTCAACTAACCTGGTTCAGCATGGCATAGCCACTCGCCGTCGAAACCATAAATATCCGCACCGACTTGTCATGCTCATAGCCTGTATCAGCTCTAAACAAAGAGTGAGGGTCAGCTAGTAACTCCCGCTGATCGTACCGCCCTGACGCCGAACAAGTCCCACGGTGTAGTATTTTCGATATCTCAGATTACTGAGCTCAAAATACTTAGCTGGATGTCCACAGCCCCCCCCCGGCGGCGAGACTATGCGTAGAGTTACAGTGCGGGCGTGCTAGGTCAACCGGCCACACCCCCCATTGGTTATCACACTATGCTGGCAACAATTCAATACCCATGGCGACGGTACTGTCCGTAGGCTGTATATCCTGTTCTCCAACCCAGCACGATGCTACATGGACCGCCAATGTTTCCTACATGGACTGGCTGGCAGTTATGACAAGACATGTCCTTGTACAGTACCGCCTGCCACCAGTACCGTTGGTTTCTGCGGCATGTGTTTCGGCAATCCGTACGTGGCTACTGGGTTGCTCCGTGCGACAACACACCGGTGCCGCGTGCCATCATATCCAGATGGAACTTGACAAACGAGGTGTTAGAGACTTGTCCCAGCGGTATGCACACATTGAGTTTGTAACGGATCCCAGTCGATTGCTAAGCGAAGATTTGATGAGAAGCAATTCGAAAAGAACATGGGACGCCGGTGGGACAATTGCTTGAACCTCTTTGGCCTTGAACACCACTGGCTTCGAAATTTATCTCTTACCACAGATGTTGTAATTTGCTCTTTTATGGCTTTAACCGACCACAGACTGGTAGGATATGCCGGTTCACGTGTCAGAAGTATCGATGCCTTTGAGATGGGTTGGAATCGGCGTGTCTAACCTCGCATCGGCTCAAGCTGTAGGTTTATATTATAATAATGTTGCATTATCCCATCTGGTAGATCATGCCTTTTATAAAGGATTATGATTACTAGGTACGAGAGCAGGTAAACAGGCAATGGTTGATGATCAAGATTTTAATAAAACCGGGTAATGCACAAACGACTCGACTGTCTAGAACGGCCCTGTACAAGGCATGTCACCCAACGTCGAACGACATCATGTACGACCCGTAGACCTGGGATCTTATCGGACTACCGAGTTCGGTGTTTAATCGGCACGTCAGGACGGACAAGGAGGATGGCTCGTATTGGTATCTATTGGCAGGTGTAGCTGGGGCTTCATAACGTATAAACTCACCAAACTCGGATGGCTTCGTGATCTATGGTGCAAAGTATAATAATTGATAATAATTGGATATGAAATCCAAACGTGCCTAAAGGAGAATGAAACAATGAGATTCTACCCTACCCGCTTTGCTTCCTGTGAAGCTCCGGGAATGCGGAGCGGCCGTCTCGGATCATTTCTACCCGCTCTTCGCGGTTCATCAGTCCAACTGGGCGGGACTGACCCCACCGTACTCTTAACGGACAGCCCGCAATCACTGTGCGCCCCTGGCATGCCGCAGATGCTTTCTCGGCCGCTTCCCTGCTGTCGTAATTGATGAATGCGCAATGCGACATATGCGAGCAGATAAGAGATCGAATTTTGCCATGTACTTTAAAATGGTCCCGGATCTTATATTCAGGCAGATCATCCTCAACACCAGTCACAAAAAGGGACATAATGCTTTCATCGGCTGGTGGCAGCCAGTCCTTGGGACCTGGTGGGGGTAGTGATACTGGTCCCTTCCGGGAACCGGTAGCTGAACGTCCAGGACCTGCCCCCGCTGCCTGCGCCGCTCTTGAGTCCCGGGTCCGGATTGGACGAGGCCCGCCAGCTCCTGCACCAGTGGCCACATCGCCTCCCGTTGCCGACGGAGCCGATAGAGAGCCACCCCCCGGAGCGCCAAGTCGCTTCTGCGCGCCGTGCGTCGTGTGGGACAGTGGTTTGCCGCCCTCATCGACTTGCCGACCTTTCCGAAAGTAGGGCTTACTCTGCGCAAGACGCTGAAGTAGCTCTCTGGCCTTGTCGTCTGTCTGTTCGTACTCTTCTGTCCCAACAAGACCTTTCTCAATAGCCTCGCCATTGTTCTGCGCAAAGTATTCTCTGTTGATTTCCGACGAAGGCCCAGGGGCAACCATTTTTAAGGCGGCATCACGCACGGCTATCGGAAGGCCAAACGAAAGGTCTAGGGTGCAAGATTGGCAGCAGTTTTTTAATCGCGCACAAGTCAAGCAGATCGTGGTGCGCTTCTTCCGTCCGTGGGCACGGCTAGCTGGCCAGCTGAAGACCGTAAATGGTCGTGTGCAAAGCTTACACTCGGCACCGTAGTCTTCTTTGAGCATTCGAACGTAAGGGTTTTCGGGGAGGCAGTTTTCACAAACAGATGGGAAGTCCGTGGCCTCCCATCCTGATCGATTGATGTCGGATTTGATCTGTGCTGGCGGCATCGTGAAACGGACTATACAAATGTGCAGAGTTGGTTAAAGGTGAAAGAACTATAACCAAGCGTCGAGTTGTCGTTGTACAAAAAAGACGTTAGGGGGACGAAGAGTTGGCATGTCTTTATGAGAGATGTACTGCAAGGCGACGCGACGAGCTTCAAGTTGGGAAAAGTGGCGACGATTTGCCAACCGGCTCTGAAGGCGGTGGCAAACTTTAGATATTTCACACCCATGTAACCATCACGTGACATTCTACATCTGATACGATATCACGGGACCTGGCGTTTGCTCCGTGTCTACCTCGTATTCGTAAGAACACTTCTACGTCGGACACTGTACAAAACAAAATGCACCACGACGATATTTCTGCTCCGTATATCTGCTTGATCTCCCCTTGAGATGAGATCTTGACTGTATCTGAGAAAGTAGTCGCAGAGCTAGACGTAACCCCTCGGTGTGCTAGGTCTCATGTACATCTGTTCAAGAGCCTGATGTATTTAAAAAGGCTTTACAAATGGCAACTGCTGCATAAGGGGTTGATAGAAGTACGTCTTAATGTACGACATACGTTAAGGCTGGTGAGGATTTACGTGACTAGTAATCAGCGGCTTGCGAGCTGAACGAAATTGGTAGCCGTGAAACACTTTGGTGTTTTCTACTGTACGTATTCGTACGTGCTACCTTACACAGTGGTTCTTATTCGTATTCGCACCTTTTTTGTTCTAGAATACCACATGAAGAAAAGGAGGTTGTAAAAGTGGGACGGTCTTAGCGCGAGTACGAATTGGAACGAGTACGGTCACCGCCTTCACTTATTTACCCCTGGCACAAAAAGTTGAAAGAGGACGTTTAAATATCGGCGTATTTCGTCTCGTAAATTTATCCTGCTCGCATTGAGACACGCTCGAATTGACAATCATTCACTTTCTCAACATTTGCCAACAACTAGAACATCTTAACCTTTCGAACCCCCAAACAGACTGCAACAATCATCATGCCTGCAGTCAAGCAAGGCCTCGAGGCCGAGAATCACCAGCGGGATGCTGCTTTCAACCAGGTTCTGCACGGCTCCTCGGCGCAAGCAAAAGGCGGCATCTCTGCTATGTTCACGAAAGACCGCGAGGCGAAGAAGCTGGCGGTAGACGAGTACTTTAAGCACTTTGACAATAAGAAGGCTGAGAACGAGACAAAGGAAGACCGCGAGGTATGTCGATCAGCCCACGATAGTCCGATGAAGTTCTAATTAACAGTTGTCGCATGGTTTGCCGACTTCAATTGGTATTTTTTTTTGGTTGCTAATCCCATCGTCGCATGTAGTCTCGTACCAATGAATACGCCACCTTGACTAGACAGTATGATGAGCGGCCTCCCCTGAATACATAACTCTACCCTGCTGAACTTGGCTAACCGAATTTTCTCGGCGACAGCTACTATAACCTTGCTACGGATATCTATGAGTACGGATGGGGCCAGAGCTTCCATTTCTGCCGTTTCTCCATTGGCGAGCCTTTTTACCAAGCTATTGCACGGCACGAGCACTACCTGGCCCACAAGATTGGCATCAACGAGGGCATGAAGGTACTTGACGTCGGCTGTGGTGTTGGTGGTCCGGCACGCGAGATTGCCAAGTTTACGGGTGCCCACGTCACGGGTCTGAACAACAACGACTACCAGATCGAGCGCGCCACGCACTACGCGGTGAAGGAGAAGCTGTCTAACCAGCTGAAGTTTGTCAAGGGCGATTTCATGGTAGGAAAGCCGGCACTGGCACACCCTGCCCCTCTCGATGAATTCGTTTAGTTTTGTGCTGACCGTGTGTCTTTCGCATTTTAGCAAATGTCGTTTCCGGACAACTCGTTCGATGCCGTTTATGCCATCGAGGCCACGGTCCACGCCCCCCGGCTTGATGGCGTTTATGGCGAGATTTTCCGGGTCCTGAAGCCTGGTGGTGTTTTTGGCGTGTACGAGTGGCTGATGACGGACGATTATGACAACGACAACGTGGAGCACCGCGACATTCGGCTGGGTATTGAGCTTGGCAACGGTATTTCCAATATGTGCAAGATCTCCGAGGGCCTGGAGGCGATGAAGACCGTTGGGTTTGAAATTCTGGAGCACGAGGATCTGGCAGTGCGCGATGACCCTCTGCCGTGGTACTGGCCTCTTTCGGGTGAGATGAAGTATCTGCAGACGTGGGGCGACCTGTTCACGATCTTGCGCATGACGCATACGGCCCGTTTCTTCTTGCACGGCTTTACGGGTCTCCTGGAAAAGGTTGGCCTTGTTCCGGCTGGTACGCGGAAGACGGCTGATGCGCTCGGCACCGGCGGTGACTGTCTTGTTGCGGGCGCGCGCGCGAATCTTTTCACGCCGATGTACCTAATGGTCGGACGCAAGCCCGCAAACTGAGAACACAGCGCCGTGTATACATTGCTTATAGACTACCCAGGCCGAGCAGGCGCAGGGCTTTGTTTAGGAAAGAGGACGGACGCACAGGGATGGAGGAGTGTAGCCGAGATAATGTGGAGGACCTGTCGGCGACATCTATCGTGTGGGCCCGGGCCAGGCCGGGGTATACGATCTTCAAAATAATAGCTACTAATAAAAACTATAGATGCCAAGGAGTATTCTTTTGGTTTCTATTATGTCATGCAACATTGCCAATGGCCAAGTCGCGTCTCGATGATGTGTACGCCGTCCTCGAAACAGCGAGTATTGCAAGCGTTCCAGGCGTGACCCAGGATAGGGGTCTCGTGGTCTACCAGGATGCTTTGCCGACCAGGACGTAAATTTTGATGAAGAAGCAGCCAATTTATTTTGTAGAGAGCAGATAGTCATTCTGTCAGATTGTAAAGCCACGAGGAAATGGGATAAACCAGTCTCGGGATTGTCATTGTGTAGGGTTAGGTGGTTATTGTATGAAAAGCTTGGACATGTTTGTCCAACGGAAGTCCGATCACTTTTTCTCGCCTAGCCGTGTCGTTCCGTTCCAGAGGCTGACCGTCGGGTGCGCAACGAAAGCGATTATTCACGCAAACGCTGTGCGACAACGGCGGCCACTTTTGGCCTGCATGGCTGGCGACGGCTTTAGGCGGGAGTTGGTGAGGTCTTTCGCTGGGGTAGGCGGGTCGTCGTTTCTATTATAGCGTCCTAATTGGCGTCTGTGGGAGACGGAGCTCACCACCTGTCGGTACTATTCGCCCCGAGTGCGCAGGACTCTCTTTCTAGCGAGAATTCCCCCAACAACAGAAAAAAAAAAAAAAAAACAAACAACAACCACGCACTTAGAGGCCCACTTATTTCCCCGTCCCGGGCACGCCAATTGGTTCTTTTAGCTGAATGTCCTAGGTAGGCATAGGAGAAGAGCACCTCGAGAGGAACTCCATTTTATCTTCCATTCTTACTTCCCGCTTGCTCCCGCTTGCTAAAGTATCCCTTTTCTTTCTGCGTCGACGCCATTTTGTCTTTTCTCGTCCATCGCCGCGTACAACTGCACCGCCCAACTAACCGCCGTACTTATCCGTCTTGTTGTCCATCCCATTCCGTCGAGCCTTCGCTCATCTTGTTTTGCTTCGTCTTCTTTTGACCCCTTTACTCTCCTTGCCGACTAGTCACCCGTCGTCTCCCTGAGGTTCACGAAAGTCTGACCTTCGTTTTGCCATTGCTCCGCCCCTCTTCAACCCTCATCATGTCCCGCTGCATCCGCCCGCTTGGCCGCCTGGCCGCCTCTCTCGGCTCCCGGACGACGGCCCTGAAGACTGCTCGCTCGCCGTTCTCTTCCAACACTCTCCGTTCTCTAGGGGCCGTCTCACAGTCCAGCAGCCCCTTGGTAGCCGGCTGGTCCGCGTCTCAGAGAAGGTCTTATGCGTCGACATCTGGTACCAAGGAGTACACGGTGCGTGAGGCGCTGAACGAGGCCCTTGCTGAGGAACTTGAGACGAATCCCAAGGTCTTTGTCCTGGGCGAGGAGGTTGCGCAGTACAACGGTGCGTACAAGGTCACGAAGGGCCTGCTCGACCGCTTCGGCGAGAAGCGCATTATTGATACCCCGATCACCGAGTCTGGTTTCTGTGGTCTTGCTGTCGGTGCCGCGTTGAGCGGCCTTCACCCCGTGGTATGTGTTTCTTCTCCCTCTCCGTTGTAATGGACTGGAGCGGGGGCTTTCCTGGCCTTGATTTGTTTTGCGAAAAGTTGCTAACTATTTCCCTCCCTCTTCTTATAGTGCGAGTTCATGACCTTCAACTTTGCCATGCAGGCAATTGACCAGATTGTCAACTCGGCTGCCAAAACCCTTTACATGTCTGGTGGCATCCAGCCTTGTAACATCACCTTCCGCGGCCCCAACGGTTTTGCCGCCGGTGTTGCTGCCCAGCACTCGCAGGACTACAGCGCGTGGTACGGAAGCATTCCTGGTCTCAAGGTTGTTTCGCCCTGGAGCGCGGAGGACGCCAAGGGTCTGCTGAAGGCTGCCATCCGTGACCCCAACCCCGTTGTCGTTCTGGAGAACGAACTCATGTACGGCCAGTCCTTCCCCATGTCGGAGGCTGCTCAGAAGGACGATTTTGTCATCCCCTTTGGCAAGGCCAAGGTTGAGCGCGCCGGTAAGGACCTTACCATGGTGACTCTCTCGCGCTGCGTTGGCCAGACCCTGGCTGCGGCAGAGAACTTGAAGAAGAACTACGGAATCGAGGCCGAAGTGATCAACCTGCGTTCCATTAAGCCCCTGGACATTGATGCCATTGTCAAGTCTGTGAAGAAGACACACCGCCTAGTCTGTGTGGAGTCTGGATACCCGGCTTTTGGAGTTGGTGCTGAGATCCTTGCTCTGACCATGGAGTATGCGTTCGACTACCTCGATGCCCCTGCCCAGCGCATTACTGGCGCTGAGGTGCCGACCCCTTACGCCCAGAAGCTCGAGGAGCTGAGCTTCCCGACGGAGGACCTCATCGAGAAGTTTGCCGCCAAGCTTCTGCGTGTCTAGGCTCAGATAACAAGGCGATGGAATGGGCGGGGATCACCGACGCGGCCAGCATCCCTGAGGGGGATAGGGCTCTCTTTTGTGTGCGCTTTATTCATAGTGTGTAATATATGCGTCTGTACTAGAATAAATAATACTACCTCTTGCGACATTCGGACAAATAATAACCTCCGAGCAATTCACAACAATCGACAATCGACACGCAACGGTCTGCATATATCCTGCTAGCCAGGTGAACGAAGTGTGCGATGTATCGCTGAACCACACGGGGCTCCTGAATGCATATATTATTGAAACAATATTTGAAATTGGACAGCCCTCCGCTCACGTAGGTCTTCATGGTTGATGTTGCCGCCCGATGACGTGCTCACCTGGTGCCTACCATTCATTTGACCGCAGGACGACCATGTAGCATCACCAAGTATTGTGGAGGTAAGGACCAAACTCGATTGTGCACCGTCCAAATCACAGGCATTGTTGAGTCACATCCCAATAGGCGCCAATGGTGCGTCCAAGTTACACTATTTTGCTGCAGCTGAGAGTGGTTGGTCTGCTATGAAGCTGCGAGTTTGCGTGGGTCGTGTTTCGTGTGCTATATCTGGGAAAGGTTTATGCACGCTCGGACATTTATGATCACCAACCTAACGAATCGTGGCAATTGAAAGATATATAGCCATACGCAGTAAGAGAGCGAGAAGAAAGCAAAGAAACAGGGTCATCATGGCAGTGCCCGCTATACAGACTATTCGCCGTGCAGAGGGATCGACCACCCAACTTGACGCCTTTCCAGCTGCCGGTGTTAAATGGCCTGCGTTGTAATGCATATTCTCCGCTACAAGTCTTGGATTCGTGCAAGGTCGGGACCGAACAGTGCCAGATCTCTCCGGAGGTGGAAAGGAAATGACGCTGGGCAGGTGTAGAACAGAGGAGTGACCAAGCAGCGAGTATCGAGCTTCCATGAGGCAAGAAGAAAGGGCCAGGGACCGAATAAAGAAAGCTGAGGATGCTCCGGATGGGAGATACGATCTCGATGAGAGCGCAGCAAGATGGTCGACGGCACCTCAAAAAAAAAAAAAAAAAAAAAAAAAAAAAAAAAGAAAGAGAGAGAGAGAGAGAGAGAGAGCAGGCGGAGGCGCTAGGTCGTAAAAGAGTCGTAGCGAAGCAAGCGAAAACGATAGTTGCTTCATTTGGAGGCGGCTAGGAGAGTCAAGGCGGCGTCGACATGGCAAGTAAGAAAGAGCCTCGTCCCTTGCGTTGCGCATCATTTCTCCAAACGGTGCCCTACAGGTACCACTTCCTCTCCGGGCGAGTTACGGCCTTCCGGGATCATAACGAGTCGGGGTGGAGCTGGCCGGGCCTAGCCAATGGGTGCAGCCCAGGCATATCAGGTCTTTGTTTCTACCGTTTCAGGCCACTCTAGCTAGCCATACGGATAGCCTAAAGAGGCTAGGGACTGGACACCTACTCCCCTCTAAGTAAAACACGCTAAAAGTCAGCCAGCAGGTAGGATGCAGGGCGACGACTGGCCAGGAATCTACCAGCAAAGCAAACCAAAAGGGCAAGGGAAGATGACCAAGTGCGGCGAGCCTTTTCTTTTCTCCTATTTCGTTTCTTTCCACCATTCAACATACAGGAGGATCTGGTTTACAGTCTGGCGGGATGAGAGGAAAGGCCAGATGGGGTTTCACCGTATGACGTACTGCAGAGCCTCGATGCTAACATCTAATATCGACGCCGTATAGCGTGATGAATAGTGCAGGTACGGCAGACCCTAATGCCGGCTGCTGCGCCGTCTCTGACACGCGGGCGACGTTCCTCTGCCGAGCGTGGCCGTTCGTGGCTGAGCCCGGGAGTCAGGCACGCCGTCATATTCTAGAAAGGGCTGTTCTGTAGATGTATACGGTCATAATAGAGCGTTTTAATGTGTCTCTGAACTGAGAAACGCCGTGTCCTGCATGTGGCTGGGTGGTTCGCTGCAGCTTCTTTATTGCAAGATGTATGAAATGGTCTACTCCAAAGTGCTTGTAAGCCGTTATTTCTCATTTGTGTGCCAAATGCAGCCAAAGTACACCAAGTTTGAGGCGGAAAACACCTCTGCACCTTCAAAAGCAACTTGTCCTGCCGATCTCTCCATTTCTCTCTCCTCTTGTTCCTTTGCTCTGGTCGTCTCCCTGGCCACCCTCGACAGCGCTGATCCATTCTCCGATGGCGTCTACCAGAGGTCAAAGGCTGTCGTCACCGATCGCCGGCCAATCACTACGATGCCAGCCTTTTAGTTCCTGAAACTACCCACCACCCTCGAGACAATTGTTTCGTTGGATCTTTTTTTGCCTGACTCGCACCTCATGCATGGAGTACGAATAAGGAGTGTTGTCGTCCATCAGCTTGTTGCGGCTGGTCTAGCTCGACCCCTTCTGTGTTTTATTTACTGCAACGCCTTTCGTATTCATCAGAGTGTCTCAGTTGAATAGCTCGCCCGTGAGTTCGCAACCTTTGACCGTTGAGTCGCGGGGAGAGAGGGACACACAAAATATAAAAAAGAGACAGCGAGACTCGAACAAGACTACAAGCCGCCAACCCTGCCCTAGTCAACACACTTCATGCAACCAAACATCATCAGCGTCGTTGATCCAAGCTCTCAAGCGGCTGGTTACGCTGCCATGGACGTATATTTGGGGACCGTAGACAGTCTGTAAGGTACTCTGGCCAAAGTATCGAAAATCTGCACACCACTATCTAGTGCGGTCCATCTTCTCATTATTTCCTTCTCGGTTTTTCCCCTCGCTTTCTGTCCGCCGTTTCGTCCTCCACTTACGACGTGCAAGTCGCTGCAGGGGGTGGAATCAAATTCTCCACATGCCGTCCACTTCCCATGCCACTCCTGCCCCCTGCCATGATCGCCGTGGAGTTGACCACACGTCGTGCTGAACCTCCGCCAATGACACCCACTCACTCATTTTCACCTGTGTGCATCACTTCCACCACCATCCACTTCGCGACACATGAGTGCACCCCACACAATCTTTTTTCAGCTTTTTTTGCAGTCTGCCCCAGAGCCTTTTTGCGCACGGTGATCCTCTCGCCCGTCTCCGACCAAACATGCCCGAGGTGCTTTTTTTGTTATTCTATTTTCCTGTTTTCTGCTTCATGCTCCCCGGCGGCCCTGCAACCCTACCTGTTTTCGTATCTCGTCCTGAAGTTTGCGGCTGCATGGCAAAGATATGCACCATGGGTCTGCGTGATATCGTCCTTGGCTTCTCTTCCAGAACGCCGCCACAGGACCGGAAGGTGATGTGGTCAAGGCGTCCTTTTCGCTTTAATCCTGTTCCTGATCTTTGAACCCGCTATACGCATTCTGCCGTCCTCCTTCGGCCTCTTATTCCACACCCCCCCCCCCCCCCCCCCGACTAATGGAGCACTGCTAGGACCATGTAACACCACCGCCTACACCATCTTCTGCCTCCCGGTTTAGCACCGGCAATCTATATGTGACCTGGCACAGTATATACAGTGGTTTACGATCCGAGCGCTCGTGCAGGTGCCACGGCCACCGGGCTATTTCACATTGGTCTTACGACGTCAGCCTTTAAGCTGTTTAAACCTATTTTCTTTCGATATGCGCGTCTCCCACGCCCCTAGCTGTTCTGGTGCCAACAGCCGCCCTCTTGACTATCATCCCCAATATTACAAGGAGACCTCGAACTGTGTTTTACTTAAGCCAGCTATTTCCTTTTTTTTGTTACAATCATTTTTAGCTTTGACAAATCCGGCCTTTTCTGTCTCGCTTTCTCACTGATCTTTCGCAACTTTTCTTGGATGTTGTCTCCTGCCTGGTCTTAGCTGCAGTTAATCAAGTCGCCTTCTGAGGGTGCCATGTAAACTGCATCTTCTGTCCCTATGGCGTTCTGACGATCCCTACCGTTTTCCTTCCAATGCCCTCTCCCTTGCTTCCTTTTACTCTCACTTCCAACTGGCACCCATACTGAGTATTGCTTTTATATCCTCGCATTCACCCAGTGGAGCACTTATCTACACCTAGCCACTTTATATAATTCCTTCCCCTTGCCCTCTGCCCCCCACCTACCCTCATGCCACCAGCCATATCTAACGTGGCAGCTGCTCCGTCGCTCTCCTTTACTGCAGCTGCCTTATCAAGAGCAACTACCTTGGCTCCTCCTTCTTCTTTCATTCCCGATTCCTCATTGTCTTCTTTTTTGTTTACTTCCTCTCGTTCTCCTTTATCTTTTGCTGCATCAAGTTTTTCGCCGGAGCCTACAATAACCCACGACCATCTTGAACCGCGCAACTTCTTCGGGCCAGATATTTCTTCGTGGCCTACCTCTTACCACGGGGGTGGTAACGTTTACTCGTTTTACTGCCCACCTGGTGTTACCTATTTTGGCTGCCGAATTCCTGCGCCAGTGACGACACCCGTGGCTTCTGCCACGGCTGTAGGGCCGCCGTCACCACCGCCGCCGCCGCCGCCGCCGCCGAACCCGACATCTCTAACGATTTTAACACCAGCTGTGACCACAGCTTCAGCAACGCTCGTGGTCAGTCAGACCTTGGTGACTTCTACGACAAAAACAGCTACTTCGCCCATGACGAACACGGTACCGACGTCCGCTGCTACAACGCACGGTGGCAGCTCTACCAGTACCTTACTCGCGATGTCTTCTACCCCTATCAGTCCTTCGGCCCCTTCCACCTCCTCAGGGTCCGGCTCGGTCTCTGATGGTGGTAGCAGTCTCACAAATACGTCGACAGTCGTGATCCTGAGCAGCATTCTCTCGGTCGTTGGCGTCATGGTCGTAGCTGTCTTGGTATTGACCTGTTGTCGCCTTCGTCAAAGAAGAGGTGGTTCATTTTTGCCTCGAGGTATCTCTCCAATCGATGACGACGAAATCGAAACCTGGAAAGGAACTCGATGTCTACCTGAGGGTGAGGCAAGTGAGAATGAGAAGGGGCCATCAGGTCTACTTGGCAAGCCCACGGGTGGCCACGACGGCCCAGACTCCTCGCCGCTTCCATCTGCTGGAGCTATGGGCGCAGGAGCTACAGTGCAAAGACGGGATCAGCTTCGACCGCGTACGCATAGCTATCCAGAGCGGGTTATTAGTCTTGACGGCTCTGGGATCGTTAGCGATGCGCCGGCACCTCTGGGCGAAAGACCTGTTCGTCCTCCAAAGAAGACGCCGTCCAATGTGATTATTTATAAAGACCCACCACAGTCTTTCCCTGGTCTTCCTAACTCTGCATCGTCAACAAATGGCTTCCCTCCAATTCTGGGCGTGCCAGTAGCACCGGCAGCTGCTGCTACAGGAGCTGCTGGTATCTACTACTTGCAGCAGGGACAACAACGACAATCCGTGCCCTTGTACCGAAGGTCGGAGGAGTTCTCGCCTCGCTCCGTTCGCTCCATGTCATTCGGTTACCCAGCGTCGCGTGGTATGGCTGGCCGCTTTAGCTTCGACCAAGATTGTGATTTTCTGTTCTCGCAAACGATAGCCCCGCCGTCTACACCACACAGCTCTCCAACATGCCCGTGCACCGAATTCCCGGGCAGGCCTCACGGATGATACGATTCCCGGGGACCCATCTTTTCTTCCAACACCGAAGCGTCAACCGTCTCGGTTGTTCAAGATGCCTCCCGCCACGGGAAGCCCTTCAGCGACGGCGGCAGAGACAGCAGCAGCCACAGAGGCAGATGCTGCAGGCGGCGCTGGAATCACATTCTCGCCGAGGCGAAACTCACACGACGCTCGTGGTAGTAGCAACATTCCATCACCACTGGAAAACAGCAGCCATAGTGACAGCAACCGGGCTTCGTTCTGGCACGCTCGTACTCGGAGTGCACGGAGCTGCAGTACCGTGAGCTATGCCGGCTCGGATGTGCCTCTAAACCAATCCTTTCGACATATGTCACACCAGCGGCGCCCGTCCGTGGTGCAGTATCAGTCCATATCCCGCCCGCTGGCATTGACACCACCTCAGCAGTCGCCTACGTCCATTTTACAACTGCAGCTGCCTGTTCCACCTCTGCCCATGTCGGCAAGGCCCAATCCCGACAACAGCGACAGCGTGAACATCAACCGGTGCAGCAGCCACAGCATGTTCGATGAGTACTTGCAGCAGGAAAAGCAGCCACGTGACGTGTCCTCATTATCCACGCTAGCGGCATCGGCGTCGTCTTCGGTCCTACCGCATATGTTTAGTAGTGGGGCGGCTGCGGGGGCTTCCGATGACAGCGACGGCCCGCTCCTCGACGGCCTGTCTCCTCCGCGGCTCTCCGTTTCGGGCAGCCGGCACATTGTGTATGAACGGCGGAGCAGCAGTCTTCACCACCTGGCTACCATTGGCCGGGCTATTGGGTAGAGGTTTTGCGCAATGTATGTCTTACCGTCTCAGTTATATCTGCCCTTGAACTTTTTCCTTCTGTCTTGACCTTTTTTTATTGTTTTCTTTGTATGTTTCCTACCTTTCCCCCCTCTGTCTTCCCTACGTGACTTCTTTTCTTTGTCTACATTGGAACTTCCTTGTTAGCCCAACGAGACTATTGGTATGAAACGATTATAGTATGGTCGAAACGGACCACCAGGAGGTGCGTTTTTACTAGGGAGGATATACCCTTAGATGACCATCTCGCATCTACCAGGATTTTGTTTTTATCATTCATCTTTCGATGATTTTTTTCGTTTTTTCTCCAGAAATGGCCTCTTGTTTCTTTTGGCACTTTTCATCTCTCTCTCTCTCTCTCTCACTTTATATATATTGACTGTGCCGTACTAAAAGGTCACGTACCTAACATAATGCATTGTGATGTTCAGTCTTTTCCTGGGGACAATGACCCGGTACAGTAACAACACTTATAAACACCGCCGGCTGGCCAAAGGTAACCCGGCCCAAGCCGAGCATTATCCCATCTAGTTCATACACATCGAGCTCTCAAAAACTGTTGGTGGATCATGTCTACCTCTCCTGTGCGTGGCGCCGGACTACCGTTATTGCAACTTACAGCCACACTGCAGGTCGTGCGGCTGTTATTCGCATTAACCGTGACTGTAATAGTTATTGCGGGTGCCGGGATAACACCACCAGATGGGTGTACCATAAGTAAGACCTTGACCAAAAGTTGACACAGTGAGGGCTGAGTTGAGCGGTGCCTGGAGTATCATGACCTCTCATTGTGGTGCATGCGACCGCAAGTGAGGACGAACGATTGGTTTACGCCACATTTCTGGCCACAGGGAGCAGGAAACGGGAAACCTGTAGCAGATCGTGTAAGTAGAGAGGTAAAGCCCCCCCATAGGCTTGTCCACCTTTTGCAACACAGTTTGAGTGACACCAACGACAAAGTGTAATTACGGTACAACAAAAAAGCATCAAAATTAAAACCTACCGCCGTATCACAACAATATCAAAACGAACCTCTAAAATGCGTCGTAACGCGCCAATTGCTAGCCTGGCCTTCCAATCTTGACAGCGTCGTCAGTCTCAAAACACCATTCAAAATTCAAGTACGACACACACGGCCACGCGATGGTTGCCCAAACAGAAACGTGCAACAGCTCGCGCCTGGTTATATTATTACGTTGTTATGTTGACAGATTCCGTTGCAGCAGCTTGAATAGACGACTGTGGTAGCTTCGTAGGCGGCCAGGTGCAGTTGTTGACGGCGCTGTTTTGACCAATGCGCATTGTTTTGCACTGTGGGCCTTCGTTCGTGCTATTTTGCCCCCTGCTGGCATGGATAGACAGAGCTAGGGGAAGCTACGATCTTGGCAGCTTGAACCGCGCCGTTTCCAGCCTGTTTACGTTGCCGCTTCGTTCCTGTTTGTTCCCACTGCTGATAGGTCAATGCGAATGCCAAATCTGTCAGTTTCCTTGTTAATAAGCGCGGTGCTGTAGGACTCCATCCCATCTGCCATGCCCGGCGTTTTGCCAGGTTTTGTTTTAGCATCTTACTAGCATCTAAATAAGTTGGACGGAGTATGTCGTACTTTGCAGCTTACCTCGCCAGCTCGCTTTCTCCCTTATGCGATCGAGGACCAATCTCCAAACCCACCCCTTGCGCCAAGCTTCCTGGGATGTAAGCTTTTCAACTGGCGTTGTTTTCGCTGGCCTAATTAATTGATGGGTTTCTTGCACCTGTCACCCACTTGTCAGGATATCTCTCATTTCCTCCCTTTTTTTTTCATTCACCTCTGCAAGACAGCTCGGCAGAAGTCCCTTCGGCATCGCGTAGTTCCTCACATCACCTTAAGCATTGGCGCATAGCTCTCACCACGCGAAACCCACCGGCGCGCGACATCTGTTGACAAAGGCACTGCAAAGCGAGACAAAACCTCCCAAGACGCCCAAATCCACCAGCGATTTGCCGTCGTTCGGGGACATAATTGCTCCCTTTTGATTTCGACCTACCCGAGTCCCTGTGCGACCCGCCCCTCTTACAGGCGCAAACGATATCACCGACAACTATCATGGCCGAGGGACACCATCCACACCTTCCGCACCTCCATAGCGGCGGTGCTGCCGACGACATCGATGAGATTGACAATATTGGTGCCACCAGTGGCACTGGCGGGCGCAACCCCCACGCGTCTGCCAACCGCTGGCGCCACCAGGAGTCGCCGGCCTTCGCTCGTCACGCCGCAGCATCGGCCAGCAAGGCCCGCGACGAGGAACGCCCCCGCGGCGACGTCAAGGATCTCACGGCCTTTTTAAACGCATCGCGAATCACACCTGCAGAGTCGGCCGGCGTGGCTGACGCGGCCGGCGCTGCTGTCGACCCGTCCTCTCCCACCGCGGCCAAATACAGCCCTAATTCCGGGTCGGCGGCAAGGTTCACGCCCATTGTGGTGCCCGGCGAGGTGGATGCAGCAGCTACTGGGTCTCCGGCCGCCGCCGATGGACAAGCGATAGGCGTGCCCTCTGACGGCGAGGAAATCCTTGTGGGCCCGCTGTTGAACTATCGCCGCATGGAGGACGACCGCTGGATTGGCAGTGCTCTAATCGTCACTCGCGGTGGTGGCAAGACGCAGCCTTTCGTGCCCACCGCCCTTATCGGTCCTGTTCGCAATGTGGCCGAGCAGGCGCCGGCGCCGACAGATGGTCCATCTGCGAACGGGACTGGCTCCGTTGCAAAGGCGAGTGGTGGCAGCGTGCAGGAAATCCAGGGCATATGTCTCTACTCCGATCCCCGCAATACGTTCTGGCGGTTTGACGTATCGGTTCCAATGGGTGAAACGGAGTCGCGCTGGCAGTACTCGTTCCCGGGGCTGCGGTACACGAGCGACACCAAGCCACGCGTCAACATTTTCTCTGTGCCGGCTGTCACAGAAGCCATGCGTATCCTCTTCTTCTCCTGCAACGGCTTTAGTGTCGGCACAGACGAGGACGCCTGGAGTGGGCCTGCTCTGTGGAACGATGTCATTCGGTACCACGCCAAGACTCCCTTCCACGTCATGATCGGTGGCGGTGATCAGATCTACAACGACAGCATCCGCGTCACCGGGCCCCTGCGCGAGTGGACTGCTATCGGCAACCCCAAAAAGCGGCGCGACTTTCCATTCACCGAAAAACTCCGTGCCGAGTGTGACGATTTTTACCTGAATAACTACATTAAGTGGTACTCGACGGAGCCTTTTGCAGCGACAAACGGCCAGATTCCGCAGCTCAACATTTGGGACGACCACGATGTCCGTAATTAAACTCCCTAGCAAACTCTTCAACACACAACGCTGACCAAGGTACAACAGATCATTGACGGGTTTGGCTCATATGTCAACGAGTTCATGAAGTGCGACGTACGTTTGAGTTTGCTACCCATCTTTTGATATTAGAAGCTCCATTTCGGGTCCGTGCTAAGCAAAGGTTGCATTAGGTGTTCCGTGGTATTGGAGGTACGGCCCACAAATACTACATGCTGTTCCAGCACCATCTACCACCACCGGCCTCAACATACACGTCAGGTAAGCGTTTTCTTTTAATTTAGGAAACGAGACAACGCCTTAATACCGAAGCTGACTCGGAACTTTCGCCTCAGATGCTCCTCAAGTCGCCGAGGCGCACCAGCCTGACCCTGTGCAGCTTGTCGACACATATGTGGCGCCTCCCATAATTGAGCCTAACTACATCATCGGTTCGAAACCAGGAGTATGTGGTATCTATACGTGTATTTATTATGTGCACCATATGGAGGACAAAGCTAACAGTGCTGCCCACAGCCCTATGTCGCCGAGTACTCCCACAACATGTACTGCAAGCTGGGCGCCCGAATGGCCTTTGTGGGACTTGACGCCCGTACAGAGGTAAGATACCCATACCGTCCCAGTTTCCCGGTGCCTAACCCATGGGGCAGTGTCAGTCGTGGCAGAATCTAACCAATGCACTCTGACCAGCGAACTCGTCACCAAGTCAACTATCCCGACACGTATGAGCAAATCTTCTCCCGCTTAACGGCCGAATTCCGTGCAGCTGCCGCTGCAGATGAGCCGATCAAGCACCTCATTCTGCTCCTCGGCATCCCCATTGCGTATCCTGTGAGTTTTTTTTTACTTTTCCTATTCGTAGCTAGCTCTACACTTGCACAAATCACAACTGACACTCGTGCAGCGTTTGACTTGGCTGGAGAATGTATTCTCGAGTCCGCTTCTTGGCCCGGTCAAGTTTATGAACCGGCGATTCGGCTTTGGTGGCGGATTCTTCAACTACTTTGATGGCAACGTCGATCTACTGGACGACCTCGACGACCACTACACGGCACGCACTCATAAGAAGGAACGTAATTGGTTTATTGAGCGTCTCCAGGTTCTCAGTGCCGAGCATTCTGTGCGCATCACGATCTTGGGCGGTGATGTGCATCTGGCGGCTCTGGGTCGCTTCTATGCCAATCCCGACCTCAATGTTGCATCAGAGAACGACTACCGGTTTATGATCAACGTTGTATCGTCGGCCATCACCAACAAGCCGCCCCCGGCCGCCATTGCGAATTTACTCGCCCGCCGCAACAAGATCCACCATTTGAACAGCTCGACCGACGAGACGCTATTCAAGCTGTTCAACAAGGATCCCGGTACATCGGCTAAGACGGCCAGTCACAATCAAGTGACAATGCCAAGCCGGAACTTTGCCATCATCACCGAAAATTCACCGAACAATACTGAGTCTGAAGAGCGACCCCGGCCCCAAGCCTTAGCTTCGGATGCTGCCGTGCAACCAAAGCCGCCGCCGTCTCGAGGTTCTTCTCGTTTCGGCCGTCGGTCGGCCTCGAGGCGTAGAGAAATGAGCTCCAATGAGCTCCCCCGCGGCTCGAGCGCGGGTGCGAGTACTGCAGGGGGCGCCAATGGCGAGCCAAAGGCCCATGCAAATGGGCGAAATGGCCGCCATGCCCTGCATGCAGGCGAAGAGGGTGCCGGCACGGAACACAGCGCAGCAAGCGATCTGCACGGCAAGGGCAACGACGGCAGTCTCGACGTCTGTATTCGCGTCGAAATAGACCAGCATGACCCAGAGGGCAAGACGGAGCCGTACGGCCTCACCATTCCGCCACTGGACTACACAGGGCCGCCTCCCATCCCGAGGGTGCCACACCACTTCCGATCGAGCCGGCCCAACACTGGAAACCGTTCGACTACAACTGCGTCGTCGGCGTAAAACTACAATGGATTCAACGAATGCTGTTGGCCATTCATTGCTCGAGACCAATAGGTAATGTGTAATTTTGCTGAAGCCAATATACCATGCGGCGCCCGAGTGGCCGCTGTTTGGTGCACGATTGTCGGCAGCTCTCATTTAAGTTTTGGACTATTTTGGTATCCCATTTATATCCACACTCGCTGTGCGTGGATTTTATTTGTCATGTCGTGCTTCTATTTTGAATAAACTAAATGCAATTTTTATACTTCGGGTATATATTTCACAACTGCATGAAAACCTGCCATCAATACGCAAGAGTGTACAGAAGACACCTAGACAATTATGTACTTCACGTCTAACCCTACACCAGCTCCATGCGTGCGCTCCGCTTGCCCGTCGTCTCGTCTTTGTGGTCCATGATACGTACAATGACCTTCTGGAAGAGGCGAATCGTCACCGGTTTTAAGGAAGTCTCATCGCCCTTGCCCGTGGGAACAGCGTGGCTTGTCTCGAGCACGTACTTAGCGGCGTCGAATCTGGCCGCAGGCTCCGGTGTGGCTAGGTCCCGAAGCCTGATCGGGCTCTCAATGCCAAACCGAGGAACGAGCACCACAAACCCGTTGCTGAAGACGCGCATCACGAAACCCTCCGCCGTCGTCTCCTTGCCGCGGACAGCTTGGCCAACGTAGTAAGCAATGCTGGCGCGGCCCGCAAGCTGCGCATTACGGTGGCGCATGTTGATGTTGCGGCAGATGGCCGTAAGACGACCTCGTGTAGCCGTTGCGCTGGACGAGTAGCCAATAGCAGCTGCCAGTTGCCTGTGCACGACCAGGTCCGCGTACCGCCGGATGGGGGACGTGAAATGTGTGTAGATGGGCGAGGCGAGACCGTAATGTCGGAACTCGGGGTAAGCGAAGGCGCCCGCGGTAAAGTACTCCGCAGCCGTCATGCACCGGGTGGCAAGGATGCGGATCAGCGTGTTGAAGAAGGGCTCCTCAGGGTCCACACAAGCATCCAAGCTCTCGGCCAAGGCCTTGGACGATTCGACACTCAAAGAGAAGTCCTCGTTGCCGCTTACATGGCCAGCTGCGCGCAGTTGCCGCGATAGCTCGTCAAAGTTGGTCTTGGGTGGCGAAGCGTGACGCCGCAGCAGGGCTGTCTGGGGGAAGGCATCATAGATCTTGGTGGCCACAGCAATGTTGGCCAACAACATGAACTCCTCGACGAGCGAGTTTGTGTCCAATAACGCCTTGGTCTGCACGTCAATGGGGTCGGACGTTTCCGACTCCATGTGCACCTTAACCTCGGGCGACGAGAGGCTCAGCGCACCGGCATCCAGGCGTTTTTGCTTGAGCTTCTTGGACAGGTCCAAGAGCGTGCGCATGCCGCGCGTCAGATCGTCTTGTTCCGAGACGTCATCAATGCGCAGCTGCGCCTGCTCGTAGCTGAATGCCTCGCGAGACCGGATCACCGACTTGGTGAAACGCACGTCGACGACATCTGCGTCGGACGTGATCTCCCACAGCACTGAAAAGGCAAACCGCTCCACGTACGGCTTCAGCGAGCACAGGTCAGTTCCCAAAAGCATGGGCAGCATGTCAATGCGCTTGTCCACCAGGTACACGGTAGTGCCGCGGATGCTCGCCTCGAGGTCCATGGCATTGTTGGGCCGCACAAAGTGCGACACGTCCGCAATATGAACACCGACCTCAAAGTTCCCGTTGGGCAGAGGGCGTGCGTGCAGGGCATCGTCGATGTCCTGGCAGCCGATGGGATCGATGCTGCAAATCAGGAGATCGCGCAAATCCTCGCGGTCCACCCAGCCAGGGTCTTCCTTGCTTGCAGGGACGCGCCAGTCGTGGCCTTCGGCGGGCAAGCAGTCCAGCACAGTCTTAGGAAAGGGCCGGTACTGCACATCATACTCCAGAAGCAGTGCCTCGGTTTCAGCGGCCTTGGTTTCCAGCTCGCCGAGTGACCGGATGAAGTGACCGACAGGATAGCGGGAGTCACGGTCCCAGGCATCTATAGCGACTAGGATGCGTTTGCCCAGCAACTCGCTCGCCTGCCGCGTACGAAGCCGGATCTTGGGAATTTTCTTGTCCATGGGAATAACAAAGACCGATTCTTGTTTTCGGCCCTGACCGGTCGCTCTGCTGACAGACGTCTGGTCAATGTGGCCAACGTACTGACGCCAGTTGCGGCGAATGACGCCGACCACCCGCACTGTCGGCTCGACGTAGGTCGACGGCTCGTTCTTGGTGCCCTTTCCACTCGCGCTTTGGCCGGCCAGGGCATGCGTTCGCTTCACCTCTTCCTGCAGCGCCTTGCGCTCCTTGGCCGAGACCAGGTCACCACCACGTCTGTTGCTGCCCCCGGTCGCATCGTCGTCTCCCTCACCACCGTCAGCACTCTCGTTCTTTGTAACGGTCTCCTCATCGATAATCTTGGTTGATGGCTGCCTCCATTGGTCGCGGGGGAGCACCTCGACGACGACAGTATCACCGTCGACGGCGCGGTTGATGTTCTCGCGGCCGAGGATCAGCAGGGCTTTGGAAAAGGCGGGCACGCGCACAGAGCCTTCCAGGTAGTTGTACGGAGAGACATTGAAGTTGCCCTGGTGCAACAAGCCGCTCTTCACGCCCGTCATCATCTTGGACATGGTCATGTACTCGGGATAGAGATGAGGGCCGTTGGCGCCGACCTTCTTCTCTTCGCGCGCCGTTGTGACGGATGCGTCCTGTGTCTCTGGAATCATGTCAAGCAGCACGTCCGCATTCTCCAGTCTGCGCACGTAGTCTGCCAGCGAGCTTGCGGCCAGGCCGTCGCTACGGGCCTTGCGCAAGTTTTCGCGGTCGTTGCTGAGCATGACGACGGCCGGTGTGGACTTGCCGACATGAGCCGCTGCGGTGGCAAGATGTTCGGCGTACCACTTGACAGCACGGCGCACAGCGCGGTCGTTGCGGTCGTTGATGGTTTCTCTAGGCTCACGGGTGACATATGTCTCGAGGCGGAACTCGTTGAAGAAGACGTAAAAGCGCTTCTCGTCGCTACGGGTGAGGCCAACGAGGCGGTTGTAGAGCGGCAGCGAGCGGTTACGCACCTCCTCGAGCACGACCTGCAGCACAATCACGTCATAGAAGGCCGAGGTTTGCTCGAAGAGGTCCATGGCTGTCAGGAAGGCATTGGTATCGGGTACGAGGTAGTGGCCCTGGGGGTAGGCGGTCGTTCCGGCGGGGCGGTCGCTGAGAACGAAGGGAGAAACTGGAACACTGTCAGCAAATGTGCCTTGTGGTTGCGAGTAGGAGTCGCCGTTCCATCGTCATACCGTGCCCTGACGCATCACGCGGTGCGTTCTCCTGGCAGGCGACGCAGAGCTGTGACGAGCAGGGGATGTCCTGGCGCAGGTAGACTTCGCGGACGATCTTCTGGACCTTGCCGCTCTTGGTCGTACGAACAAACGTCTTGCTGGACAGGTTGGGCTCAATGCCGTCGTCTGCCGGTGCGGATCGTTTTAATGACACCATTGTCGCTTTGTCTGTGTTCTGTGTCCTGCGCAGCGCTCGTCTTGCCTCGTTTGTTGTGATTTGTCGTCGTTGCTGATGCATTGAGTGGTGGCGGTCGGTGTATGTCGGAAAAAAAATCCAGGCGATGCGAGCGGCTGGCGAATCAGCGGCTTTGCCAGGCCCAGCTTATCGTTATCGCGCTGTAGCTTGAATGGGAATTGCAGGCTAAGGCGAATCTTGGGCCCCAAAGCCTTGCGCTATGGCGGGGCTGCGAGGGTGTGAAAGTGAGCGAGGAGGCTGCGGAGTTTATTACCAGATTGATGAACGGAAACGACACAAATTTCGGCCCAAGCTTCATGTCAGCAACATTGTTTTCAATTCGGCTATAGTCTTTTCGACTTTTGATTTTCTTTTCGAGTTCCATATCATACATATGACTGGCAGAGGGTCAGAATATCTACAACTCAAAGAGGCTGGTCTGGATCGGTATGCTGGACTAGCTTCTATTCTCCAAATAGTCCCGGTGTGGTTATGTAGCCCGCCATACGACCGTACTCGATCGTCCACGCGTTCCTATGTGGCCGTCCGGGGTACTAAAGCTGGAGGTAAGGTAGGTCAAAAACAAAGGTGGCTCACAACTAATCACGTGGGTGAGCAAACGACTGTACGCGGGTCTTGTTTCGGCATTCTTTTCAGCATACAGAGTAAAAGCCCGAGGCAGCGGATCAGACGGCCTGGAAGGCTTGGTATTGACAGGAAGGCAAGATTTTACCGGGTGAGATGATTGAGGGTCGTAGTGGCGTGTGGAAGTGGCACATAATTTTTCAGTCTCGCAACTTCCCCAAACTTTTACAATGGACATGAGTTCCTGGATATCCCGACCACGGCATCCCGCCTTGTCACCAGGTAGATTGCCTTCGTCATTAGGCTCGGTCCTAGTTGTACGCAAGACATGGATAACATGTGGAAGGGGTGGGTTTTGGTGTGATTGTAAAGGACTCTTCCTTTTATCGGGCCTGGTCGATCGCAGGCATTGCATGACATATGAAGCCGGTTC